TGGGCCTGACCTGAATTAGTCTCCAGCACCAAGCGTCTTTAATTGTGGCGGCATACGGGAACAGAAAAGGAGGCATGGGCCCACAGGAAGTAGGAGAGGACTGAGATTCTACAGGAGGTCCAATCTCCAGTGAAAGGGAGGCTAGGCTGGTCTGGGACACCACACACCGGCAGAGAGCACCAGGAACAGGGAAGGAGCCAAAAAAACTGGGCAGGTGCCAGGCCCCAGCACAGCTAACCAGGCATCAGGTTACCACTTAGATCCAGCAGGGAAATTGGAGGATCTCAGCAGTGAAACTAGGTCAAAACTCCATTTGACTCACCACGGCGGGTACACTGGCTGTCTGATCTATGGCCCAGGATGAACTCCAGAATGCACCCACTGTGAGACGGGGCACTGCTTCCCAGGGGCTTCCACCCAGAAGGAGCAAGTAACCTCTATTTCTACGGAGGCCCCGGTGGAATGGTCTAAAGCTATTCCCGTGACCCCACATTTCCTTAAAGCCTCGGATTTTCTTTTTCAATTGCATAGGACCTTTTCATCATAATCCAAAACAAGGTAAATTGATGACAATTTCCAGTGGTTGAGAACCACAGTTCTGTCTCCTATGCCAAGTTCCAGGGCTCTGATCTGAGAAGCACAGGTCGGATAAGGCTGCAGAGACAACATGGTGATGCTGGTTGGCTGACACAAGGCTGAGAGGTCAGACCAGAAGTCAGAAAGCCAGAGGGGAGCCTCCTGTAACAAGAGCTAAGACCAGGCAGAGTGAGAATCACAGTTTGCATGGGTTGGTAAAGCTTGCTCAGAGAGGCAATCACGGGCTCAGGAGAGAAACGCTACTTGTTGCCATTCTATAGACCAAATCTTATGAGCTTATCCTATGAATTTATTTAAATCCTCTTGAACCAACTGAAATGTTTTAAATTTCCATCTCCTAAATTAATTTCTATTCAGATACCACTTACTCATGTCAACCAAAACAGGCCCAAAAAATCACCTAGTAATTGTGTACAACATAATCTTATTCATTCCACACACATTTTATTGAATAAATAAAAACTTTATTTGTGTATTTACCAAAAACAATATCCTTAATTTGATCATTTAAAAAAAATACAAATCTATGTAACCAAAATACTTAAAGGATTCAGTTAACTAAGTGTGGGCTATTTTTATCTATGAACATGAAAATTCATTCTTCAAAACTGGTTTTGCAGAGACATGTTTGAAATATCTGTGGGTTTCCATGAAGATTGACTGTTCATGTTATGAGATTTATTACAACATCTAGGTCAGATATTAAGGGACAAAATTATTTTGCAACCCCAAGTTAGAACTTTATACAAGAAATCCCAGTGGTGTTGAACCACTTTGAAAATTCTATTGAGTATTTTTCTTTTTCAAAATCAAGTAGGATAAGTAAATAACAACAGTACCTCGAAGACTTTTATAAATAGGAAAGCTACACTTTTCACAGCTATAAGCAAAGGGTATTTGTATTTCCCTGAGAGCATAGTTTGCTTTGGGTTCAAGGTGTGTGTGGGGGGAGGGGGGCGAGGGGAGCGGGGGTGAAGTCATTGACCGCAGAGTGTGATGAGAGCTAAGAGAACAGTTACCTGTTGATGAGCTTAGCTCCATGCCCATTTTAGACCAGCCTTGTCAACTGGGGTCCATTAACCTGCCCTTCAAGTCCCACCCGAGCCTCTGGGCCTCCTTCTCTCTAGGTCCAGTTAGGTAGGAGCCCCAGCCAAGCAGCTCAGAGGCCCCAGAGCCCATGGGTCTGATTGCTAGTCCTGCTTTAACTTGTGACTAATTTCTAAGAAGTGGATTCCTTCCTGGAACCCCCTTGGCTAGAACCCCCCTTATTCACCTCTTTCCCTTCTTGAGAATGGAGTCAGGCTCACAAACTCCAGGGATCCTGATATCATTTTTCTCAGACCTGACTCCTCCTGCCTCATCCTCTTCCTCCCCTCCAGAGGTGCTCTGTCCACACACAGGACCTGCCTCAAGAGCCAATCTGCTGTGGCTCACAGAGCACCAATCTGCCTCATTCCCCTGCTGGTGGTATGGATTATGACAGTTAACTTGCAACACACTAGATATTTGTTTACTTGAGAATGGAAATTAGATCTTAAGAGCTTCTATCCCTGGCTAGAGCCTAGACATTTATACTTATCAAGTTTCTAAAAAATAACTTGGACTTTTCCCTTTCCCTAAAAGCTACAGACTGGCAGCTCAAGTGCAGAACTCTGGGTCATCTTAATGGATATATCTGCCCACTAACCCATGCCATTATCAAGAATGCCTATTTCTTGAGAGCCAGGCACCTGAGAATTCTACCCCAAGTCACCTGCATACCTGATGATATAAACATTATATAAAATTCTTTCCTTGCCTTCATTTGTGTGTTCTGAACTCGTCCTGAAACTTGGGTCCTGCATTCAGAACCAAGTTTATAACACAGAGATCCTGAATCTTCTCTTTCCTAGCACTGGTAGGCTCAAAATTTGCTGGCTTCTCTCCTTAGAGGACTGCCATGGCAAGGACTGTTCTCTTTCTGAGGTGGCTCTTCATGTATGGCTGTGATGCTGCCATTGGATATCCTCTTTGGAAGTTCTTCCCTGAAACCATTTCTGGAATATGATTATAGCTCAGAAATAGTTTCCGAAGGCAATGTCAAAGACAGACAAACACGTAAGCAGTGGCCTCATCGTTGACCTAAGTGCACAGTTTTCCAGAGAGACCACTCGGAAAGACAATAAAGACGTGGATGCAGCCTCATAACTGTACATACATCTCTTTTTTCTTTTGCCAACTTATGAAAAGAAAAATTATAATATTTTCAAGTGGCCTATTTACCTGTTTATTCAGTGTCTTCATAGTGGGGATTTGTCTTATTCATTGGTGTCCTCAAGGCTTGACAAACATAAAGAACTCCTTGAGTGTTTGCTGAATTGGACTAGATTAAATTGAGAGCTTTGCTAAGGTTATTAGTGCTCATGAGCAAGTGATACATGTGTTCTAAATTTCCACAAATATGCTTGTATTTTCCCATCTTCCTTTCATACTAGAGAGCTGAACTATCACATGTGACCCTAAGGCACAGAGCTTTGCACACACCAACATGCACTTATATTTATCCTCAATAATCTAAGCAGAAACAAATCTTGTAATTTTCCAAGTCTTTTTTATCTGCTTTGAATTTTAGCTCTTCTAGCCATAACTTTTCTAAGAAAATTTAATCCACTATCAAATTTCAAACTGCTGATAAGTACAAGCACAATATGTATGCCACATCTGACATGAAATAAAACTCTATAAAGAGATTTGAAATCATATGATGAAAATAAAGCACATTGCGTAATGCAGTAGTTACTCTGTTGTTACCATTGTTGTTGCTTAAATACAGCATCTGAAACAGGATCTCTTAATCTGTTCCCCCAACTTGGGGATTAGAATGAATTTCCAGTGAGCTCATTTGCAAGTTCTAGTGCTTAGAGTGAAGGATTAACTCTGTTCTTTGAATCAAAATTGTGCCAAGCTGATCCAAAAAGCAAACAGAAGGGCTTAAAAGGACCCTGAAAACTAAGGTTCCAGGAGGGTGGGGTCTCAGGGACATGGACCCAAATCACTATCTAAAAAATGGAGTGTATATCATCAAGAAAAGTCGGTCAGTCCTGGCAGAGTTGCTCAGTTGGTTGGAGTGTCATCCAATATATCAAAAAGGTTGTTGATTCATATACAAAAGGTATAGGGCACATACTGAGGTTTCGGGTTCGATTCCGGATCGGGGTACATATGGGAGGCAACTGATTGATGTTTCTCTCTCCCTTCCTCTCTCTCTAAGATCAGTCAAAGCATACCCTCAGGTGAGGAAGAAGAAGGAGGAGGAGGAGGAGGAGGAGGAGGAGGAGGAGGAGGAGGAGGAGAACAAGTTGGTGATTCCTGCAGTGGCCAGCAGTCTATTAGGATATTCATGTCTTTTTAAAACAGAGCTCTGAGTCTCTGGGAACCTCTTTTCTCCATGGCAATACAACAGTTAGACATTCAGGGGCCAGGGCACTGGACTATGCTGAAGGTACAATTCTGTCTGGTGATGACAGTTCTAGTCCAAAATGGGCCTCCTGTGATCATAAAAAAAATAGAGGCTTTTGATGGGAGAACAGAACACATTTATATATATATATATATATATATATATATATATATATATATATATATATATATATATATATCTTTCAAAGCAAACAGGCCTTCCCAGACCCACCTCCCCAGACCTGTCAGATCAAACAACCTCTGTTGGAATCCCAAGGCTCCAACACCAGGGATTCCAGCTGGTTTCAGTATTGGGGGGAGGGGGGGGTATCGGGAGAAAAGGAAAGGAAAAAGAAAGGAAAAGAAAAGATAAATACCCTCATTTCCCTGCCTTGATTAGTGAATCCTTTAGCCAGTTTTGGGCACCTTGTTTTTGTTTCTGGTTTCCTGCTCTGAGAGAGCCAGTATGGCAGAAAGGGCACTGACTTTGACATTGAAAGACCTGGGTTTAGACTCCTGGTTTTGCTACTTGCAATTTGAGTGACCTGGGGCAAGTCACTTCGCCTCCCTGAAACTCGGTTTCCTCGCTTGTAAAACAGTGATTTAAAAAACAAAACAAAACAAAACAAAACAAACAAAAAAAAAAAACAAAAAAAAACAGCCGCCAGGTCTTTATGCTGGTTCAGTGACTTGTATACCAAAGCGCCGGCACGGCAGGTGTGTCCTGAATGTTACCTATGGCTCTTCTCTCCTGAGGTAGGTCACGCAAACATTGCTGGTTGCTCTCAAGTGTCCCAAAGCTGTGACTTCCAAGGAGCCCCCAGGGGGGGCCACGGGGATTCCCTGAGGTCCCACCTAAAACGCACGCCCCGCCTCCTGTCTGAGGTGGGCGGGGCCTGGGTGCGGGGTGCGGAGGGTCCCCGGGAGGCGCCGCCCAGCCCCCGCTGTGGCTCCGCCTCCCGCAGTCAGACCGACACGGCGCCGGGCACGATCCTCCGTATGTGGGTGTAGGACTTCCTGATGGTCACGCTGCCGTGGTGGGACACCCCCCGGGGCAGCACGCACTCCTCCGTCAGTTTCTGGGCCTCCGGGTCCCAGCACAGCACCGTGGCGATGACCTCGTTCTTCTCGTCGCGCCCGCCCGTGATGTAGAGCCGGTTGTTGCAGGGCGCGATGCCGCAGCTGGCCCTCTCGTGGCTGAGCTGGGTGACCAGGCTCCAGGTGTCCTCCAGGGGGCTGTAGGCGTACAGCGCTCTCATGGCCCCACCTGCAGACCAAGGGAAACACGGTGGGCCTCGCACCCTCTGCTCTGGTTTTCTTCTCCTTTCACCACAAACCATCCTTCTGATTCGGTAAGTCTACCGTCTCGCCTAGAGAAAGTAGATTTATGGCTTTCTAAAGACTTCCTAAGTGCTGGAGACAGACACTTCCCACCGTCCTTTAAAGGCTGCAGCCAGTGCTAATCGGGTTCCAAAATGCACCCCAAGACTGCTCCCTGGAAGAAATACCACGTGGTGCATCAGGCAGACTCTGCTCATAATCCCAGCTCTAATTCCAGCTCTGCCCCTTTTTGATCAGTAACCACAAGCACGTGATAATAAGACGTCAGAAGGACCAGGAGCACGAAGTAACTGGCAGAAGCCGTCAATCCGTGACAGTAACCACAGGCGGTAGCCCCTCTTTAAACCGAGCATGGCCTGGGACACCATTCAAGGTCCTTGTCTCCAGATTAGACCTTTAAGCAGAGTCATGAGCCTGACCATAAACACGCATGAAACCTCAACCAAGGAAGAGAGGGGTTTTTCCTTCATCTCTTTCCATATTTTACTTGTCTGATTGTCTCTTATTTGCTTACGTTATTTATTTTTGGCATCTCCTTTATCAGTAGTTCTCAATCCTTGCTGCACATTAAAGTCACCTGTACATTAAAAACACTTGCAACTGTTGGCCAACATCCTCTTTCCCATTCTGATTTCATTGGTCCGAAGTGAGGCCCAGCTGCCCATACTTTTGTAATAAGCTCCAAGGTGATTCTAATGAGTAGTCAAGATTGAGATCCATAGTCCTTAACATTACAGGCCAACTGTGGTCTGGCTGGCCAGGCTTTCCTTCGGGCAAACTGCAACGTTTCAGAGCCCCCAAAGCAAGTAGGGAGAGTAAAATTCCCATGAACACGAAAGAAGAAATAAGGAGAGCTACTATTTATTGGGCACTTATCATACTGTGCACGTTTCAGTATCTGCACATGTTCCTACAGCCACTTCTAACTCCTCCCTGAGTCCCAGGGATACGTCTCCTAAATGTGGGCCATTTTCTGCCTCGAGGACTGCAAGGGAAATCCCACCAAAGCCTGGTCCAATCCCATCTTCTCCTCCTTTTCAACCAGGACTTTGTGAGTTCCCAGGAGGGCTTCGTCTGATCTACCTGCATGGCTTCCTGGGTGGGGAACCTTGGGTACATACGAAGCCATTTGCTCACTTACCAACGACATAGATGCGGTCCCGGAAACTCACTGCATTGATGCATTTAGCCTCCACTGGCATGGGCGACTTTAAACTCCACTTGTTGGTGGAAGGGTCGTAACACTGAGTCTTGTCCGTGGCCAGTTTTCCATTGGGCCCTCCCCCAATCACATAGAGCTTCTTCTTGTGGCTGGTGGCTGCGAAGGAACTGACATGGACGAGGAGGGGCGCCACCTGTAGAGACGCAGGGCCCAGGAAAAGCTGTCAGTCACATTGTCCAGCTTGCTGCAGTGGCTCACAGGACACAGGCCAGGAGCCAGGGCACACGAGCCTGGGTATCCTTTGCCTGAAGTCACAAGGCCTGTAGCCTTGACTCCCCTTGAAACACAGAGAGGATCAAAGCACATATATCCCACCCTCCCTACGGACTCTAGCAGGCATTGGTGTTTCCAGCCTGTTTCTCCCAGAGTTCGGTTCTCAGGTGAAGAGGGGTAGTGACAGGAATAAGTGTTTCCACAGATGAAACCAGCCAGTATTGGAGAGAAATGCTTTTTCAAACATGCATATTCATATCAACTCATGTGTTTATTCACCTAAAATTATTCACTGTGTGCCAGGCATTGTCCTTGGTGTTTATAAAATCCAGGAAGAAAAATGGTAAAAGGATTCCAGGTGGCCACAGGTAGGCAGACTCTCCCACTCTGGGGCAACATGCAGATTTGGGGATTAAGCCAGACTGGTGCTTCCACCCTGTGAACCCCCGGGCACTAAAGGGGTCCTCCAAGAGCTTCTTGCCCATTGACATGATCCTCTTGGGCCAGGGAGCAACCCACAAGTGCCAAGTAATGGGGCTTACCGAACTGAGAAGATCTTAGTACACCCCCCCCCTCCCATTAAACATTAAGGGCTCCCTATTTGGCACTCTCCAGGTTGACAGGTCTGGATGCCAGGAGGACCTGGCTACCTGTGCTGTGCCCACAATGACCATGCTTTACACTCTCCACAACTGAAACATGCTCTGACATATGACATGACAAAGAGAAAAAAAATACGAAAGTGGGAATAACCTGGAAATACCAGGAAGTGAGATCACTTGACTTTTTAAAAAAAAATAACACTCAACACGAGGTCTACCCTCTTAACACATTTTTGAGTGTACAATAATTATTGTTATCTATAGCTATCTATAGCACAGTGTTGTCCAGAGCGTATCCATCTTTGCACCCATTGATTAGCAATGCCTTACCTTTGCCTGAGTGTGATATATACCTGAGTTTGCATTGTGAAACTTGTTAAACTCTTGCATGCAAGTATATAAAAGATGATTCACTAATAAGCAAATAAACAAGGGCTGATTTCTAAGCACTACCAAATGACTCTGCATTCAACAAACAGTGTGTTAAAGGGATCCTTGGGTGTCCCGTGTGGAGAAGACAAGGGCAGATGGCATCTGAAGACACGGAGACTATAGGCCAAGATATGCACCCAGAGTAGGATCCAGCCTCCCCCACACATCTGGGGTTCTGGCCAGGATAGGGCAGGTGTACACAGAGCGGTGACCTGATCAGCAATGCTAAAGCAATGGTTCCTCTGAGGAGGGAAGCTCACAGCCACCAAAAATGTTCTCAGTGGGAGCCGAGTGATCAGAAAGCCATATATCAACATTGACATATACCCTTTTTTAAACTTTGAAGTAATAATACAAACAGAGTTACCCATAGAAATAATCTCCAATACCTCTGACCAGCAGTTGTGGAAGGGGTCGTAGGTCTCCACGTTGTTGATCCTCTGCAAGCCATCAAAACCTCCGATCACATAGACCTTGCCACCCAACACCACCATCTTATGCCTCCAGCGGCCTATGTTCAAATACTCTATTTGGATCCATTTGTTGATCGAAGAATTATATTTCCAAACATCGTGCTGTGTTTCTTTGCCACCTAGAAGAGATGCAGAGCATTTAAGAAACCACCAGATGTATCAGAAATACAGCTTCTCCCATAATTTCCCACAGATCCAGAAGTGCTGAATCCCCAGGCCAGCCCTCCTAAGAAAGAGAAAAGAAATCCTGAAGGTGTGTGTGACCTATTTGAGGAGATAGAACCAACACAGAGGAACAAAAAGAGACAGTGTGAGGGTGGGGTGAATAATTCTCCAGACATGTCATGTGGCACCTCTGTGCCGTGAGAGCTCAGGGAAGAGGTGGGCTTCCGGGAGGCAGGACCACGTCCGCCTCCACCCACAGCAGGAACCTGGACTCCGTGTTTGTGAAGCTAAGAAACAAGCTGTAAGGCAGGACAGGTGAGGTTGGACTGTTTCAGGGCCTTCCTTGACCAGCAGGCAAATTAAAAAGCACCTTACGTTCTGTTTGCTTATTTATTTTTTTAAAATGCAAACCAATAAATATTTTAAAATCCCCGGGGTTGCCTAGATGGTTGGCTCAGTGGTTGACCGTCAACCAATGAACCAAGAAGTCACTGGTTCGATTCCTGATCAGGGCACACGCCTGGGTTGCAGTCTCGATCCCTGGTAAGGTGCATGCAGGAGGCAGCCTCCTGGACACACGGTTTAACTGCATTTCCCAGCCCACCTGCAATGTTTCTCTCTCATCCATTGCTGTTTCTATCTCTCTATCCCTCTCCTTCCCTCTCTAAACAAATCAATAAAAACATATTTTTAAAAATTATCTGGGTTTATAACTGTACAAAAAAATATAAGTGGGGTTGTCCTGTTTTTAAACAATATTTACTACAAAAGAATGAGATGCTCCTAATAGAAAATGTGAGAGTGAGCTGGTAAATAATTTTTTCAAAACAACTCTCTTATTAAGCAGAAAATATATAATTTAATTAGGAAGAGAGGACAAAACAAAGAAGAACTGTCTTTTTTGGTGACTTTAATCAAATATTTTAACAAATTTGTATTTCCAATTCCCCCTCAGCACAGAGTGCCAACTCAACTACTTGATGAAAAATATGTACTTTTCAGACTTATTAACCCGCCCTACTGCCCTGGTGCAGCAATGAATGTCACTGATGATGTTCCATGTCATGGGTAAGTGTTTCTCTAGGATGGAGCCCAAAAGTGGGTTTCCTAGGTCAAGGGTGTGCATTCCTTGAATTTTTATAGGTGCTGCCAAAGAGCCCTCTAAAGGGCTCCACCCACAGTGGGTGTAAGGAGGGGGTTTGGGGGTGTTTTCTTTGTTGTTGTTGTTTTATAGCCTAATGGAGAAGAATAATGCCAGGTTGGAAAGATTTCTAAGGAACTTGTGAAAAAGAAAAATGAAGAGGGGGCTTTCCGCAGCAAATATCAAACTATACTACACAGTTATTATACAAACAACGTGGTGCTGCATCAGACCACACACACTGATGAATAACAGCCAGAGTACAGAACAGGCTAAAGCAGCAGTTCTCAACCTGTGGGTCGCGACCCCTTTGGCGGTCGAACGACCCTTTCACAGGGGTCGCCTAAGACCATCCTGCATATCAGATATTTACATGACGATTCATAACAGTAGCAACATGACAGTTATGAAGTAGCAACGAAAATAATTTTATGGTTGGGTCACAACATGAGGAACTGTATTTAAAGGGCCAGAAGGTTGAGAACCACTGGACTAAAAGATGTAGAGATCACTCAATAAATGGTCTTAGAACACTTGGCCATTTACTTAGAGAAAAATTAAGCTAGATCCCTATTCCACATTACCCTTAAAATAAACCTCAAATGTAAATGCTTTAAAAGTAACTGAAGAAAATATAGAAGATATTAAGGATCTTCAAGTGGGAGGAACTTTCTAAGCAAGATTTGAAACCCAGAATCATGTAAGAAAGTTACTATATAAAATCTAAATCAATGTTAGAAGACAACACAGCCTGGGAGAAAGTACTTGCAATACAAATAGCAAAAGGTATATGATAAGAACTCCAAAAACTTAATTAAAAAAAAAAGATAAACCACCATTAGAAAAACAAAGAGTGTGATCAGATAATTTGTAAAATAAATACAGTTAGCTATTAAATGTACAAAAATATACTCGACCTCATTAATGACTCAAGTGTGTAAATTTAAGCATTCTAGACTATTAAAAGTGTAATTGACTGATAATAAAAAATAACATAAAATGGATGTTGAAAATGACACTGTTATTCATCATTGGTTGAACTATAAACTAGTACAAACTTTCTGGAGGACAATTTAGCAATATCTACAAGAATTCTAACTTCTCACATCTTATGACCACTTCTAGGAATCTCTCCAAATAGCAGCACACGTTCATAAACATATGTGCAGTATTTTTTTAGTAGAAAAATAAAAGCTGAAAAACAGTCATGGTTCATTTATTCAGTAAACTGTCCTGCAGCTGGTAAAAGGATAATGATAATGAAATGACGCTAATGATGGCTAACACTGTTGAGCTCTCACCGTGTGCTTGGGATTGTGCTGTGCTTTCCATGTATTATATCACTTAAAACATATGATAGACCCATTACACCAACTGCAATGAGGTGGAAAATGTATTGTGAATTGAAGTGCAAATCTCTGTTGATTTTATTGTGTTTAACAAGCATGCTTTCATGTATTGCTTGTATCATTTTTTAAAAAAGACAATGACACATTTAAGAGAAGAGAAGGACAAGTTGTAGAATAACATGCAGTGGATGTGGCCAAGACTGACTATAATTACAAACCCCGTCTTTTCCTCCTGGACACACAGTTAGACTATATTTCCCAGCCCACCTGCAGAGGGTGGGGGGAGGGCCAGGGAGGGCATGTGGCTCATTCTTGCCAATAGACTGTGAGTAGAATTGTGAATCCAGACTAAGGCTGTTCTCAACTCATTCACACTCAACTCATTCATTTTCTCTCTCCTCTCGAAATGAAGACCACATATAGAAAACAGCAGCACCACAAGATGGAAGGAGCCTAGGTCCCTGAGTGACTGAGCAGAGCAACCCCATATACTGTTATGGTAATTCACTGAGATTTAGAATGAGTTACTGAAGCTGGCATTATTTACTCTAAAGCAATATAAAACTATTTTTAATTTAAAATATAGGATTGTAATGACACAGAGAAACTGACATATTTTACTTCATACTCTATATTATTTGAATCTTCTACAACAATTAAAACATATTTCTACAAGATAAAAGAAAGCTATAGCCTCATCTATGATATTATATATCCAAAGAAGAACTGACCTGACCTTGATTTTGGAGGAAGCCAGCTCTGGGAAGCAGCTTTTCTCCAAGTAAGTACAGATTAGAGAACACCTTCTAGAGAAGAGAAGGGATACTTGTCTCCTCCCTTGGGGCCCCAAGAAGAGCTGGGTCGCTTTTGATGTCATGGGAAAAGCATGGGACTCAGAGAACCTGGGCACGAATCCTGCCTGACATCTACCAGCGTGTGGCCTTCGGTGCATTCCATAACCTTTCTGAGCTTCCGTTTTCTCCGTCTGTAACCTGGAGATTTGAGTCACCTATCTTACAGAGTTGAGGTGAGCGGCATGTGATTAAATGCTACCAAATTGTAAATTCATCTACTATGCTGCAAAGATGGCAGAAAACATGTCTTTCAATAAATATTCATTGCGCATTTACTATGGCGGGCAGGCACAGTGCTAGGTGTTGAGGATAGTACTGACTGTCAGGTAATTTAAGGATTAATGGTTGATAGGCATAAATCATTGTAAATAATTAAACTACTTAGAAGTAAGAAATGAAAAAAAAATACTGGATGCTTTGGGAGTGTCTAAAAGTAGGACCTAATAAACTTGAAGGATCAGGTCTTGGAGAAGAGCAGACATTTTTATTCATTACTGTATTCCCAGTGCCAAGCCTATAGCAGACACCGAATAAATTCTAGTATCACTTTCCTGTTTCTCTTCCTGCTCCCCAGATCCCAGCACAATATTGCTCCCAGGTTAGTGTTCATCAAGTAAAAATGTGCTTTCCAAGGTAAGACCACCTGAGCCTCTGGTTTCCATATCCTGACCCAGTCAGAGCTAGATCGTTGCCATTTACAGTAATTCTTCTAGGATGGCTGCCTGCCCTCGCTCAGGAAAATATGTAGTGCCGATGCAGACTTGCTTTGGCATCATGTGGCTCCTGCTTACCTGAAATGTAGACCTCATTTTTTAATGTCACGCATGCAAACTCCACCCACTTCTTATTCTCACTCTCCAGCTCATGCTCCGTCATCGGGAGCTTGGCCACCTCCAGGCGGCTGCGCCTCAGGGGGTCCAGGCAGGTTACCTCCGCCACAAATCGTTCATCCTTCGTGCAGCCACCGATGATCATAAACACCTCAGACTGGAACTCATGCATCCTGGGCTTGGTGCGCTCTGATATTATCTGGAAAACCAATGAGAGTACAGGATGACACAGGGTTTCAGAGCTCAGGTTATGGAGCCAGCAGAGCAGGGCCCAGTTCCCAACTCCGCCACTGTGTGACCAGGTGGCAGCACCTCCCTGAGCCTCAGTTTCATCTTCTGTATATTAGAGATTATAGAGGTTTGCTGTGAGGATTCATTGAGATCATGTACATAGTGTGTTTGGCCCAGAGCCTGGTATATAATAGGTACTCAGTAAAGGTTATCTGTTATTGCTTTTGCTGCCATTTTAAGAACTCCAGGTCTGTTTACCATCAAATGCATTTCTTGCTTCTCCCTTCCTGCCTGATATGAAGCCTTGAATCCTAGAATTCCATTTCTGGCCACCTTCCACTCCTGCCTTGTTCCAATATCTTGATGACATCCCAGACTTTTGTTCACTACCACACTTCTTCTGAAAGAGAGGTCCTGTCAGGGGGAGCAGAGGATGGCCAGGCAGGTTGGGGGACTCGGTCTTAACCTCAAGCATATGACCCTTCAGAGCCTTGAACCACACCATGGAGATTTGAAAGAGAGCCACACCATGGATATTTGAACCCAGCGGAAAGAGCAGACGTCTGCAGTCAAATACACCAGAGTTTGGTTCCACCACCTATGGCCTTGTGACCATGGAGAAGCAACACAATCTCTGTAAATGCCTGTCATCACTTCTATGCCATCAGACCTTGGTATAGATCAAGGTGGTCCCAGGAAATTTAGGAGGAAGTGAAACAGAGGGGCAACTTTTCTGTCCCCAAAGACCTCTCCCAATGAAGGTACCAGCTACCATTTCTAAGCTAAACACAGATGGACATTTGCTTTTAGGGTTTTAAAATGTCCCACTGTCATCACCTTCATGAACTTGGAGGAGGGACAAGATTAAGAGGAGAGATAATGATAGGACAAGAAGGGTTAAAGTTTGGGAAAGGAAGGTGAAGTGAGTTCCAGGAGTAGCCTTCACGCTTACACTACTGTCACCAGGAACAAAGCCAAGATCATTCAAGTAGTGAGCAGACAGGGAGTTTCAGGGAATCAACTGGCTATGAGATCTCAAGCCAGGGATCACAGTGGTGGGTTGGTTCAGTTACCCAGCCTGCAATGGAAATGAGAAAGTGCTTTGAGCTGGATTGGGGGTAATAAAGGCAGCAAAAACCTAGGACACAGTGAAAAGAGAGATTTTAGTCTAAGACAAAGAAAATGCCTGATTGTGGGAGATAGAGCACCACAAACAAACTGAGTGAGAATAAGAACTGTCTTCATTTGTGGGGCACTTACCATGTGCCAGACACTGTGCTAAGCACATCTCATTCATTATCTGATTATATCTCAAAACAGTTCTAGCAGCTGGTAGGCATTATTATCTCCATGTTACAGGTTGGGTCTGAGCTTTAGAGCAGCTAAGTAGCCAAGGTCACACTGTAGGTAAATTGTGCAAAGTTAAAGCCAAGATTCTCCTGACTGCAAGCCCAAATTTCTGCCACTGGAGACTTTTCCAGAATTTCCTCTCCTCCTAAATCCAACTCACCCCCCCACACAAACACCATTTCAAATACAAAAGGCAGAGCAGATGTTTTATAGCAGCAATTTTGCAGAAGACATAGTAGAGATATTTTATATCAAAGGAATGCCTTCATCACCTGCATTTCAGAGACTAAACAAATGGGAAGCAGGAACAGAAATAGCCAGAATTTTGGAAGTCCAGTTGATCAAGACTCTGAACTTTAATGCTTCACTGAATACAGATGCAGAAACTGACACTTGTCCAAGTGTATGAGGGTTTTGATTCCCAGTGCTGAGCCACCTGCCAGTGACCACATACCAGCACGGGATGTGACCCATGTGATTGCCTACACTCCCTCCATCAGTCTACTCACCACCTTTATTTGCTTACTGTCCTCTATTCTCTGACAGACAGACATTTAGCAAGGCAGAGATTTTTATTATAGTGCCTGCTGCCATTTCTGGCATATTGTTACTGTTGAGGATTTATTTGTAAAAAATGAAGGCATAGCATAGTAAAATATATGGAATGATGTTAAAGTAGTACTTAGGGGGAAATTTATAGTACTAATGACAGTAGGGGAAAGGTCTCAAATCAATGACCTCCAGTTCTACCTTAAAACACTAAAAAAAGAAGAGAAAATTAAACCCAAAGGAAGCAGAAGACATGAAATAATCAAGATTAGATTAGCAATAAATAGAAAACATAAAAGCAATAGAGAAAAATAAAATTAAACCAGAAGCTTGTTCTTTGAGAAAATCAATACAATTGACAAACCTCGAGCCAAAATGATCAGATAAAAAGAGGAGACACAAATCACCACTATCTGGAATGGGAGATGTGAGTGACATCACTACAGATTCTACAGATAATAAGGAAATATTGTGAACAACAGTAAACCAACATATTCAGTAACTTCTATGAAATGGAAAAGTTCTTTGAAAAATAAAAACTATTAAAGCTCATTCTAGAAGAAATAGATAACCTGAATAGCCCTATATCTATTAAAGAAATACAATTTATAATTAAAAACCACACACACACACACACACACACACACACACACCCTCCTGGTTCTAATAACATCACTGGTAAAACTACCAAACATTGAAAGATATATTTGCAGAGTGAATGAGTGACAATGAACCTGAGGACAACACAGAACTAGAAAGGACACCTGGGGAAAGAGGAGGCTCCTGGGGGCTTCACGCAGATCATTCCTAAGCCACTCTTTACTCAGGTATCTACCAATGGCCTAATGAAGAAGGCGTGGTAGCCAAACCCAGAAGTATTATATAGTGGGATATATGTGTGGGTTTCATGTATATAAACTTAACAGTTCCTATTTCATTACATCCTGGCTGCTTATCCACTTCCACTAAACCTAGTCTTGTCTTTATACAGTAATGAATAAAATATGTCTTCAATTGTTAAGGAGAACCAGGTAAATTCAAATGATATGCACATTCACCAACCTGGTCTCCATTTATTCATTCAACAAACCTTTATCAATCACTTACTCTATACCAGGGAGTCTCCTAAAGTCTGGAGATGAAAATTCCAATACAACGTACTTTCTGCCATAACAAGCTCCCAACCTAGAGATATTTACAGATGAGGAATTCAGTGGTTAACATGTAGCAGTTGGTGTTAAAATACTGCAATGCATCAGGGGCTAAGAATGAGTGAAGCCTCTGGAGAAGATGATGCTTGAACTGAATTTTGAAGTAGGAGCCGAAGTTGACTAGATGAAGAAGAGGGAAAAGGCATCTGAACAGCACCTGCATTAGCTGGAGGCGGAAAAAGCAGGTCCGCCTTGGAGAATTAGAAGCTGTGTCTTTGGGCTGTAGCAGAAGAAAGGGGCTGGAGATGGCACTAGAGAAGCGGGCAGGAGGTGAAGGGTGCAGGGCTAGGCTCTGGGAGCTCGGGCAGGAAGTGTGGGCTTTATCCGGAAAGGGGCGAGGAACCAGTGAAGAGGGTAAGCCTAAGAGAGAAATGTTTGGCTCGAGTTTCAGATCATCCGGCTGATGAATGAACTGGAGAGAGGCCAAACTGGAGCAGGAAGGTGAGTTTTGAGGAACTTTCAGAAATTCGGGAAAGAAATAATGAGAGTCTGAACTAAGGGAACATCAGGTGCCCCAGAGTGGGCAGGCAGAAAGCAGCACCCGGTGGAATGGCGACTGGGCAGGGCACATTCTGTCCATGTGTGTGTCACCCCCACTGCCCTCCCGCCTTCCACAGCTGGGAAGAGAAGGGCTGTGCCAGGCTTGGTGCTGGGTGATTTCTGTATCTCACCTTATCCTCTCAGAAGCTGCCCGTGAGGCATTATCATCCCCATTTTACAGATCAGAGTTCCAGGGCTTCCGGAACTGCCTGACTCAAACTGTCATCAGTGTAGCATCTTCTCCTTGCTCTAAGGATTAGAGCAAGGAGCTGCCAGCCAGCCTCGCCTGATCTCTATGAGGCCCGCTAACCCCTTTACTTCGCTAGTTCACAGCAGCACCTCTCATCTCACCTCATTGCCAGAAAGGTGGTACATCCTGGCTTCCTGGAGCAGCGGGAAGACCTCCGGGCACTGCCTGATGAGAGGATCTGCCTCCACCGTCTCCACAAAGTACCACGGGTCCAGAAGCGGCAGGCGCACGTACTCCAGGATGTAGGGGAGCAAGCAGAGCCGCTCCGACTGCTTGTGCCGGACCCAGCTCATCACCGTCTCAAACACCTGAGCCTCCTCCGTCACATAAAGGTCATCGCTCTTCAAGATGTGGTACAGAGTGTCCACGGGGAGCTCAAGGAACTCCTCGGCGTTCAGAATCTGCACGAAGTTTTGGATGATGTAACTTTGAACCTGCTTCTTTAGACTGTCCAGGGAGTGCGTGTCCGCCAGCCTCAGGATCCCAACGCAGTTCTCTGGGTTCAAGGCTTCGGTGAGGAAGCTGGCGCAGGCATCCACCATCCGCAGGAACTAAGAGAACAATAAGGGACTCGCTAAATAGGTAAGAATACATTCCTGTGTTTGACAGCTCTATAGTCATTAAGAAAACATGTTGTAGAAGAATATTAAATGGCATAGAACATTTTTGTAGTGCTCTAAGTTTTAAAATCTGTTCATGGAATCTGATCGAGCCTCTAGTTTTAATCAGCAACGACAGGAAATAGAGTTCAGCCCTGGCCGGTGTGGCTCAGTTGGTTGAGGATCGCCCTGTGCACCTAAAGGTGACTGGTTGGTTCCAGGTTAGGGCACATGCCCGGGTTGCAGTTTGGGTCCTGGTCCGGGTGCATGCAAGAGGCAACTGATTAATGTTTCCTTCTCTCTACCTCCCTCTCCCTGCCTCTTTCTCTAAAATCAAGTGGAAGAATATACCCTGTTCATGAATTCAACATCATTAAAATCAACATCCTTAAAATGTTCATACTACCCAAAGAGATACAATCCTTATTAAAATACCAACAGCATATTTCACAGACCTAGAACAAACTCTCCAGAAATTTACATGGAATTAAAAAAAAAAGACCCCAAATAGCTGCAGCAATTCTGAGAAAGAAAAACAAAGTTGGAGGGGTCACAATACTAGATGTGAAGCTATATTACAAAGCCACTGTTCTCAAAACTGCCTGGTACTGGCACAAGAACAGACATATAGACCAATGGGACAGAACAGAGAACCCAGAAATTGACCCAAGCCATTATGCTCAATTAATATTTGACAAAGTAGGCAAGAGAATATAATGAGTCTAGACAGTCTCTTCAATAAATGGTGTTGGGAAAATTGGACAGATATATGCAAAAAAAATGAAACTAGACCACCAACTTACACCATACACAAAAATAAACTCAAAATGGATAAAGGACTTAAACGTACAACAGGAAACCATAAAAATCTTAGAAAATCCATAGGCAGCAAAATATCAGACATCTGTCATAGCAATATCTTTACTGATACATCTCCTACGATAATGGAAACTAAGGGGAAAATAAACAAATGGGACTACATCAAAATAAAAAGCTTCTGCACAGCAAAAGAAACCATCAACAAAACAACAAGAAAGCCCACGGCATGGGAGAACATATTTGCCAATGTTACATCCAATAAGGGTTTAATCTCCAAAATTGATTGGGAACTCATACAACTTAACAAAAGGAAGATAAACAATCCAATCAAGAAATGGAAAAAGGACCTAAATAGACACTTTTTTGAAAGTGGATATACAGAAGGCCAAAAGGCATATGAAAAAATGCTCAAAGTCACTAATCATCCGAGAGATGCAAATCAAAACAATAATGAGGTACCGTCTCACACCTGTCAGAATGGCTATCATCAACAAATCAACAAATGACAAGTGCTGGCAAGGATGTGGAGAAAAAGGAACCCTCGTGCACTGCTGGTGGGAATGCAGACTGGTGCAGCCACTTTGGAAAACAGTATGGAGTTTCCTCAAAAAATTAAAAATGGAACTCCCATTTGACCCAGTGTTCCCACTTCCAGGAATATAGCCCAAGAAACTAGAAACACCAATCAGAAAGGATATATGCACCCCTGTGTTCATAGCAGCGCAATTTACAATTGCTAAGATTTGGAAACAGCCTAAGTGCCCATCAGCAGATGAGTGGATTAGAAAACAGTGGTACATCTACACAATGGAATACTGTGCTGCTGTAAAAAAGAAAGAACTCTTACCATTTGCAACAGCATGGATGGACCTGGAGAGCATTATGCTAAGCAATATAAGCCAGTCAGAGAAAGATAAATATCACATGATCTCACTCATTTGTGGAATATAATGAACATAAACTGATGAACAAAAATAGATCCGGAGTCATAGAAGCATTGAACAGACCGTCAAACCTCAGAGGGAAGGCAGGGGAGGGTGGAAGTGGGGAGGGTAAGTAATCAACCAAAGAACTTGTATGTGTCCAGATAAGCATAACCAATGGACACAGACACTAGGCGGGTGAGGGCATGTGCTGTGGGGCGGGAGCGGCCAGGGAGAGGTCAATGGGAGAAAAAGGAGCCATATGTAATACTTTCAACAATAAGACTTTAAATTCAAAAAAAAAAAAAAAGGAAATACTGCCTGGCCACTGTGGCTCAATGGTTGAGCATCGACCTATGGACCAGGAGGTTACCATTCGATTGCCAGTCAGGGCTCATGCCTGGGTTGTGGGCTTGATCCCCAGTTGGGGATGTGCAGGTAACAGCCAATCAGTGATTCTGTCTCTTCATTGATGTTTCTCTCTCTCACTCTCCCTCTCCCTTCCTCTCTGAAATCAATAAAAATATATTTTTTTAAAAGGAAATATGGTTGACTCTTGAAGAATGAAAGGAAGTGGGGTGCTGACCTTCTACATAAATGAAAATCCATGTACAACTAACATATAGGGGAAAGAGGAACATGTCAAATGACAGACACCATGGGAAGATCAGCAGAATCCAGACCGTGGGAAACTCTACAATTTCTTCATCAAATATATCACAAGGGGAACGTGGGGAGGGGAGGAAGAGCCTGAGGATGAAAAGAGATCTAAGAAACACATCAAACTTTGGCAAAGTAGGGACCTTATTTGGACCCTGATTTAAAACAAAATAATTTTAAAAGTCAGAAATGTGTGCAGTGACTAATATTTGGTGATATGAAGCAATTATTATAATTTTAAGTGTAATAATGGTATGGCTATGTTTAAAGAAGCATCTTTCCTTTTAGAGATAATTACTGAAACTCTTGCAGATAAAATAAAAAAGCACTTCACAAAATCACATGTACATTATGATCCTAACTCTGATAAAAGATGTATAGAATATAGGCCTAGAAAAAAAGACTGAAGGATAATATTAACAGTTGTCAATCTCTCTGTGTATCAGATACCATAGGACTCATTATGCTGCAGTAACAAACAACCCCCAAATATCAGGGGCTTACAACAATACATGTTATTTCTCACTCATATTGCATGTCCTTCACTGGGCTCTTCATTCCAAGACCCAAAACTTTGCAAAAGTCCTTAACTAAAGTAGGCCAGTCTTGTGACAGGAGAAAAAGGATGGCTCTTAGCACTTTTGCTCAGAGGTGGTGCATGCCATTCATTCCCACTTACACTGGGCTGACCAGGATAAGTCTTGTGGCAAAATTTGTTGTCAAGGAAACAGTAATCCTCCCACAGAAACTGGTCCCATAGCAATGAACAGTGAATGTGCTATATAAATAAGGCACCCCACTTGATAATAAGACTATGAGAATTTTTAAATTTTGTTTACTTATATACTTTTTATTGTATTTTTTTAATCCTCACCCAAACAGTGAGGATATTTTTTCCATTGATTTTTAGAGCGGAAGGCGGGGGAGAGAGGGAGAGAGAAACATCGATGTGAGAGAGACACATCAATTGGTTGCCTCCCACACTCACCCTGACTTGGGGCAGGGAGGTACGTGCCCTTGATTAGGAATTGAACCCTCAACCCTCTGGTGTGCAGGCCAGCACTCTAACCACTAAGCAATGCTGGCCAGGGCTATTTATATACTTTTTAAATCTTCCAACATGAATAAATAACACCATTGCAATAAAAATTAATTTGTAAAATTGATTGGTTTTTGTGACTTATTTTTCAATTATCGTCATCCTCATAACATGAGCCCCATGTGTATATATAGACTTTTACAGCTTACAGAGCACTGTCATGTGCGTTATGTTATTTTAATATTCATTTTACAAATGAGGTGTCTCAAATGCATCAGTTCATTCCTATTCATTGCTCTCTGGAACTTACTTTGAACAAGTCCAAGCTCCTATCTCCCCTCCTGTCCACTGGGCCCCTTATAAGGTCAAGTTCTCAATGTTCTTGAGTTGATCAAGTAGCAGAAGATTGGAAAAAGGGAGACACCCAGGGAGGGCTGGTCTGAAGATAGGTGGGAGTATAGACGGGCAGCCTGCCGAGAAGACAGCTCTAGTGGCAGGAGCTGGGGTGGCAGGGTTGTGGGCCAGAGGATGGGGGTGGGCACAGGACTTAGAGTGGACTATGTTGACTTAGGTTTTGCCCTTCACTCCAGAGCAATCTAAGGATACACACCCCTGGTTGTTTGGGTCATTTCCAATGACAAAATATTGTCTTTCCACATCACATCACATTTTCCAATTGTCGGTTTAGAAAGCACTGACTGAGGGTCAATGCAATGTTGAAGAAAGTCTGAATTCTGCTACAAACCACCCTGTCTGCTGGTCCCAACCACCTGCAGATCTGCTCCTCGCATGAGCAACTGTGGAAACGGTTGAGACTGAGAATTCTAACACCTGTTCAGTTGTTCGCAGATTTTCAGTTCAAAGAGTAAAAATACACAACTGAGACCAAGCCTCACTGAGCCCTCAGAACATGTAACCAGAGCCCTTTGTGGCCCGGCCCACAGAGACGTCGCTGGGGGCTGGAAGGGAACTCACTTATGTGGTAGCCTCCAGAGCAAAACAGCAGGTACACCAGGCCAGAGTTTGCGTGAGAAGAAGATGATGTGAAAGCCAAATCAATTTTCTAAATATGTAGACTATGTCTGAGAGGCCACCTAAGAACCTGGGAACAGCGGTTGCCTCTGGGGAGTGGACCTGGTGTCTGGGTTCAGGGTAAAGAGAAAGAATTACTTTTCACTGTTTACCTTTTTGTACCCCCTCAAATTATGTGCCATGAGGAGGAATTCTCTATTTAAAATAAAGTCACTTTCTCATGAGTAGAGAAAACACTAGAAGGGAACACATCAAAATGCTAACAGTGGTTATTTCAAATGTACCTTTGGGAAGTTATCAATTTGTTTTTTAGACTTTTCGGTATAGACCAAGTTTTCTACATTGAGCATGAGCTTGCTTTTAAAATCAGAAATAAATACTCGAAAGACTTGTATGCATGCATATAAGCATAACCAATGGATACAAGCCACTGGGGGGTAGGGGAGGCCGGGGGAATGTCAAGGGTGGAGGGGAGGAGA